GGCTGGTGCTGAGTTTAACCTGAGGGTCACCATGCCTCAGGTAAGGGAAGAAGTTGAGAAGCAGAATCCCTCATGATAACCACATTGACGGGGAGAATTGAACCCACACTGCATTATACTAATGGATAGATATAGAAAAGCTGCCAATCAGCTTGTGTTTTGCCTCCCCTGGTCTGGTGCAACTGGACTGTGTGCAGTAAATACAGATTATAATGTAACCTGCAATTTCGCCGAGGTTTTATGAAGGAAGGTGGCTGCCTGACAACATTAACGGAGTAGAGGTCCGATGACAAGGATCTCTTTTTCAGTGGAAAAGAGAATGGGTATATCCAGTGACAAACTTGTCAGAAAAACATCTGAAATCTGAATCAGAAGCAGGAGGAGGGCATTTTGTCCCTTGGCCATGCTCCACAATACAATAAGGTCATAGCTGATCAAATTGGAACATGAAATCAACATTCCCGGCTCCCCCAAATAATGTTTCATCCCTTACCAAACAAGAAACTGTCTACCTCTGCCTTAAAAACGTAAAAGGAGTCTGTTTTCACCATCTTTTCAGGAAAAATTCCTAAGACTCACAACACTCTAAGAGAAAAACCTTCACCTAATTTCTGTTTTAAATGGGTGAGCCCTGCTTTATTTAAACAGTAGTCCACTAGTTTTAGAACCTCCCATAAGAGGAAACATCCTCCCCACATCCACCTTGTCAAACCCCCACGCGTTCTTACAAGTTTCAATTAAATCATCTCCTTGTCTAAACTCCAGCAGATATAAGCCTAACCTGTTCAACGTGTCCTCACAAAAAAAACCATCCCATTCTGGTAAACTTTCTCCAAACTGCCTTCAGTGCATTAACATCCTTCCTTAAACAAGGTGGCCAATTCTTTACAAAGTACTCCAGATGCAAACTCAAACTGAAGCATAACTACCTACTAAAAAAAATTGAAAGAACTGAGGATACTGTAAATCAGGAACAAAAACAAAGTTGCTGGAAAAGCTGAGCAGTTCTGGCAGCATCTGTGAAGAAAAAGATTTAGATGTAGAGACGTTTGATAGGGTTATCTTTGTGCCGTTAGCAAATTTGACAAGTCACAAAGTAAGTTGTAAAGAAGAGTTCTGAGGAAGGGTTACCGGACCCGAAACGTTAACTCTGATATTTTCTTCACAGATGCTGCCAGACCTGCTGAGCTTTTCCAGCAACTTCTGTTTTCATAACTACCAGCTGTTGTATTCAATCCTTTTTGTGATATATGAAGACATTCTATTAGTGTTCCTCATTATCTGCACTATCTATGTACTAACCTTCTGTAATTCATACATGTGAACATACTGATTCCTTTGCATCTCAGAGCTCTACCATTTCTTACCAATTAGAAAATATTCTACATTTTTATTCTTCCTGCTAAAATGGACAATTTCACAATTTCCCACATTATATGTAATTTACCATGGCTTTGCCCATTGACTTATATCAATAACTTTTTGTAAAGATTTTATGTCTTCTTTACAACTTCCTTTGCTACCTGCCAAATTTGCCTCCGGCACAATGATAACCCTGTCAATTGTCTCTACATCTAAATCATTGATATAAATTGTGAACAACTTAGGTCCCAGTACCAATCCCTGTGGCACACCACTTCTGACATCTTGCCAACTTGAACAAGATCCATTTATACCTCCTCTCTGCCAGCCAACCAATCTTCTATCTATGCCAGTGTTCTACCTCCCTTCAAAATGAGCTGATGTGGCATATTTTCAAAAGCCTTCTGGAAATCTAAATACTGTACACCCACGAATTCCCCATTACTAAAGCAGATGTTATTCTGCAAAGAACTCCAGTAAATTGGTCAAACGTGATTTCCCTTTCTCAAAAACACATTGACTCTGCATGATTACCTTGAACTTATCCAATTCCCCTCTGTAACTTTTACAATAACAGCTTCTAAGGTTTTTCCAATATCAACTGTTAAGTTGACTGGGCTGTAGCATCCTGCTTTCTCCCTCCTTCCCTTTTTGGATAATGGAGTTACATTCACTCTTCCAATACCAGGTCTCGTACAGCCTGCTCTCTGTTCAGCTGCCAAACAGTCTTTTCCAGGAAACTATCCTGAAAACACTAACTCCTCATCCAGGTGCTTCTGACATTTCCAATTAATATGTAAGTTAGAAAGATTATTGCTATGTCTTTCTGACAAGCTCTCATTATTCTTTCTTTTATGACTGATCCCACTCTGGTTACTGTTGGGGTATGTATATCACACTCAAAAAGTGATTTCTTGCTTTTACCATTTCTAATTCCACATCTTAGTGTATTGTGCAAATGTCTAGAGTGTGAAAATTTGTCCCTAGTTTTTCCGGTGACATAAGATTTCAGAAGCCCATTTTAATCGTACCATGATTGAGAATTTGTGAAGGAAATGGAAAGCCCGCTGAGGGGTTGGAAGCTTTCTGAAAGTTAAATGTCAATTCTTATACACCTTCAAATCTCACTATGAGTTATTACATTGTAATGTAAATGTGTTTCTGATGCAGTGATTCAATCATAGCAATCTGCCCATTAAAGTTGGTCCTTACATTGACCATCAATGGATACTTGTTCATATGCATTGCAGTACTTGTCCATTGGAGAAAGCACAAAAATGCAATAAAAAACAGTAAAAAGGACCTGTGCCTTTTTTGTTTGCCGTGATTTAACTGAACTGCCAGATCTGACTTAACTTGCTTGTATTTGGAGAAACAGTGTTTTGCAGCTGCTCCCCTCTCATTGATTGACAGGCACTCTGCTGCAACATAGAAATGGCCATCTGATTGGTAACTCTGAGCTGGAAACGTTTGTGATGACAAATGCTCCATTGTGAATGCTTGGCTGAATTTCAAGAGCCTAACTTCATCTTGTAGTCTTGTCATTTTCAAACCTTTCAAATGCGTGTAATAGCAGAGTGTTTCTTTGTTGTTTCTTGTTTGTTTGCAAACCAAATAGGTGGCTGAAAGATTATATTTTGTTTTTCCCTTAATTGTCTTTGTCCATGACAGTGTGTTTGTATTTAGGTTTTGCTTTTAAGATTGTAAGAGGTTGAGGTTTTTCAAAGATTTGATGAGGATTTTAATATAATCCTATCAGTATTGTGTGTCTCGAATGGAATGTATGGAGCACTTGCTGGATAAGTGACTGTGGAGGATTTATGGCAGGCACAGATGTGTCCATGGAGGATACATGGCTGCAGTATTGTCCTATATTGAAACTGCAGTTTATTTGTAGTCATTGACTGTAGCTGCCCTATTGAACAATACCAACAGATGGAGCTGCAACAAACAGTAGCAGAAAGAATGGAGGGGCTGTTCATAAAAATAAGCAGCTATTGTTATATTTTGATTTGACTGTGGCTGGTTCTATGTCCCAAGAACTCCAACTAGGTCAAGAACTACAATGTGAGGAGGATGGGGCATAGACGATCATGGGTGATCTGAGGGGGCAAGGACTGGTATGTGAAAGCGATTGGGAATGACGGAGGTGAGATGTGAAATTTAGGGAAAGATAAACAACTTTGGGAGCTTGACTGATGTGTCTCAAGCAGACCTCAAGCACTTCACCACAGCTCAGAAAATGTACTGAAAACCCAACCCCTATGTGAAGTAACAAAAGTTACATGTTAGATCATCCACGTGCACTATTTGTGGTGTCAAAGTATGCAGTTTGGGTTTCACAATGTCCTAAATGAACATCTGGCCCACAGAGTTTCACAGTAAATCTATTGCTTACAATTAACTCGAACACGGATGTAATCAATAACAGTCAGATCTTTAATTTGGTTCAGAATTTATAATTATTCTGGAGTTGCAGTTGCTGTTGTCTGCTGTTTGCTGTGATGTAATTTTGTTTTTGTTGATCTGTGTGTGAGTGATATGTGGACTGTTTTGAGATGAAGCAGCAAAGTGATGAATCCCAGCAGTATTGTTTTATGTGATAAAAGTACAAGACCAGAAAACAGTCAGCATTTGTGAGTGTGTGACCTCAAACAGGGCTGGTAGAAATAGAGATAGTAGGAACTGCAGATGCTGGAGAATCCGAGACAACAAGGTGCAGGGCTGGATGAACACAGCAGGCCAAGCAGCATCATAGGAGCAGAGAGGCAGAAAATGGTAGAAATAATCGTCTTTACCAGCTGGCATGAATCCAGTTTGTTAATATATCTATTATTTACAACCATTCACAATTTTAAAAGTCTACATAAAACACATTGAAACAATATTTTGCAAAACAAAATTATTATTCAATTATTTGTTGTTTGTAATTGTTGTTCTGTGAGTCTAAAATAAGTAGGTGCTTTTCAACTCAGTTTTGAATTGAGGTTTTCAGCGTAATGTTTTAGAGAAATGAGCTATGTAATACCCAGCACTGATAATTGGCTCTCATTTAAGATCTGTTTTCAGATCCACACTCCAGACAATTTGACTCATGACTGCAGATTTTTACCAGCAGTGTGTCTCCTCATGAATAAGTAACCAGCCAGCCCATTCTTTGCACCCTGATGTTTGAGAGAGAAAACCCTTCTTTTCCTTCCATTGCCTCTACCCCACCCTTTGCATTTTTCTTCCAAAAGGAATTTCTTTCTGAAGCTCACCATTGCCTGCACACCTGTGAAAAGTCTCTCTCAGAGCAACATCAATGAAATCTTGCTTCTGGTTAACTCAGAACAGGCATTAGTTAGCTGCGCCATTTTAAATGCCAATTTATTCATGCAGTGTAAGTGTGAAGTGCATTTTAAAACAATGACATTATTTTAAGGTGCAATTCATCTTTAATACACGTATGGCCACCCAACATTATAGCTGTGTTGGTGAGAAACATTATTTTTGTTCATGTTGGAGTGGGCACTGAAGCTGCTTTTTGATATCCTGTGTCGTAGCGAAGCAGACAGTCTGAGTACTTGAATTCCCCAGTGTTTTTGGAGAGAAAGAAAGAGACGGAGCTTAATTTCTTTTGTCTGTTCATTCAACAGGCAAAGAAAAGACGAGCTGGAGCAGCGGATGTCAGCCTTACAGGAGAGTCGTCGTGAGCTGATGGTGCAGCTTGAAGGACTAATGAAGCTGCTGAAGGTAAGGACATTTTCTGCTGCCGTATGGACTGAATCCTTATCTCCCTGTGTGGATAGTGGATTTTATTTAATTTGTTATTCTCATTTAGCATTATTCTTGGCCCTTTTCATTCATTTAACTATTTACAGTTCCCATTATTAATTCATTCCATTATAATTGCAAAAACAATTATACATACCTTTTCAGTCTCCCTGAAGTGTGGAAGCAGGCCATTGAGTCCACACTGACCTTCCATAGAGCAACCCCCCCCTATACACTACAGGCAATTTAGCATGGCTAATCCACCTACCCTGCACATCTGTGGACTGTGGGAGGAAACCCACACAGACACGAGGAGAATGTGCAAACTCCACACAAACGGTCACCTGAGGGTGGGATTGAACCCAGGTCTCTGGGGCTGGGAGGATAATAGTGCTAACCACTGAGCCACCGTGCCAGCCCAGATTTGTGTTTCTGCATGTCCTCTGCAATGAAATGAATTCCTGAACTCCTCAGGGATATTTTCTTTCTGATGAATTGTGGTGACACCCTGCACCACGAAACGGCAGGACGAGATTCATACTGAGTCAAACCCCCATGCCGTTAGCTTGCAAAATACAGTCAGGCAGTTATCAAGCAGTGTAGGGGAAAGTGCAACGGTCACTGCTAGAGGGTATCAGCCAAGTTCTTTTTAGTATGTTACCCTCCAGGTCAGGCAAGTGCTGAATTAGCTGAGCAACTTCAGGGATTTGGTACTAAGCAGGATACTGCAGAAAAAAAAAACAAAATTCAACCTTTGGGGATTTTATCTCAATCCCCAAACTTGCTATGTCATCTTCATACCTTTTTCAAAGATAACTTTACAACATCTCAGCTGTCTCCTCAGTTGTCATCACGCAGCAATGTTTTCTATTAAAAATGTGCAATATTGATGTTAGATGTTTGAACCCTGAAGTCTATATCAAATCAGATGTAATTAAAGGATTAAAATTGAACAGACCTTCAGTGTTGATGTGTTAATGCTATTAACATTTCACTGTAATTCTCTGTGTAACTCCAGTTGAAATTGTTTCCCCAAGGATTCTCTCAGATCCCTGCTGTGTTAGAGTAGGAACCCCCACAGAATATCAAAGGGAATGTTTCCTTTGGAGAAGCTGTTATGATTGTCTTTCTGCTCAGTAAAAGTCGCTGTTGCTAAGAACGATCCTTTAAATAAATTTGGATTGGGATTACAAGCAATAATCTCCATGAAGCTTTTTGTTTCTTACTGCTCTGGATTTTGATGTCACAGGCCTGTGAGAGATAAAGAACAATGCAAGAAGCTGCAGATATGTTAACATTTCTTTATCAGTTGTGCAGACCCTAACACTGGCATGTATTTGTTCTTCTGGCACTGGCGATTTAGATAGGGCGATGTTTATTTCCTAGTAGGTAGTTGGATGTCTTGAACAGTTGCAATCCTTGTCATACTGATGTTTCCATAATAGTTTCAGCTTTCATTTAATTTATTTGATGAGACGCTGGGATTGTATTTATTACCCATCAACAATGGAAATGGGAAGATCTTAACTAACTGTTAATTGGATGAAACTGAGTGGAAGAGCTGATGGTAATTTTCCTGGTAGTCACTTTTGAATCCAGTAATGGAATGTGGGCGGTGCTGGCTGGCCCCAGCATTTCTTGCCCATCCCTAATTGCCCTTGAGAAGGTGATGGTGAGCTGAGGTACATGTACTGTAGGTAGACCCACAATGCTGTCAGGGAGGGAGTTCCAGGGTTTTGACCCAGCAACAGTGAAAGTATGGCAATATATTTCCAAACCTGGATAATGTGCAGTTTAGTGCTGGCGGTTACGTTTTCATACAGCAGCTGCCCTTGTGCTTCTAGATGGAAGTGGTTGTGGGTTTGGAAGATGCTATCTAAGAATGTTTGTGGATGTGGTGCCAATCAAGCAGGCTGCTTCGAGGGTGAGCTTCTTGAATGTAGTTGCAGCTGCATCTATGTGGAGTTGCTCTGATGTTCTGCACACCGTGATTGGCATTGGCGCACCAATTGTGGCTTTGATGTCAGTTCCATATGTCACTGCCTGTGACCAGGCCTCGGAGGCTGGTGCAGATGGTCAGGAAATTAGAGGGAAAGCTGGTGGAGAGTATCCCATAACACTCCTGACTTGTGCCTTGTACATGGTGGACAAGCTTTGGGGAGTCAGGAGGTGAGTTACTCTCTGCAATATTTCTAGCCTTTGACCTGCTCTTATAGCCACAGTACTCATTTAAAAAAACAGAAATTACTGAAAAATCTCAGCAGGTCTTGCAGCATCTGTGGAGAGTTAATGTTTTGGGTCCAGTGAGCCTTCCTCAGAACTTGTTTAACTAATCCAGTTCAGTTTCTGGTTAATGATGACTGCCCTCCCCTTGCAGGATGATGATGATATGAGGATTCAGTGATGGCGATGGCATTAAAGGTCAATGTTGTAATGTCTAGCCTCTCCCTTGGAAACAATAATTGCCTGGCACTTGTGTAGCACAAATATTTTTGTGATTTGTCAGGAGGTCCAGGTCTCTCCAACTCCTGTTGTATTTGGATATGGATTTTTTTCAATATCTGGGGAATCGTGAATGATGCCAAATATTGAGCAGTCCTCAGCAAACATACTTCTGAACTTACAATGGAACAAAGGAAGTGAGACCACAGAAAGGCAGGTCCAGTCTAGAAGTAATTATCTTGATAATGACTCACAAGAAGGGCCCCTAGGATGTAAGGTTAGGGATAGGTTTCTCCACCTGCTGCAGAACAACAGGCAAGCCACCATCCTTGATAATGGACCCACTGCAAATGCAACGTGTGCACAATCTGGGGTCAAACATCACACCATCTTCCCCATCTTCCTCACCACAACACTCTAGCTTACCTCCATGAAGCTTCACACTGCAATGGGGCTTCTAACTGGATAAGCAGGAAACTACCAACTTCATTGTCTTCAGTCCAGAGCCAAGGCCATCCTAACCTGTGCCATTGTGATTCAGTCTACAGGTGATGCTTTTGTGCTCTCACACTCAGAGGTAAAGCCTCTGAACATGCAACGTGCCTTAATGATTACCGCCCCAGTGGCTCTGACCTCCATAATCATGAAGTGCTTCGAAAGGCTGGTTATGGCCCACATCAACTCTAGCCTCCCAGCCAGCCTCAATACCCTAAAATTTGGCTACTGACTTTGCATGTAGATGCGAAGGTCAAGAAGGCACAACAACTCCCCTTCTTCCTCTGGTGGTTGTTCAGGAAATTTGGCATGTCCATGAGGTCCCTCACCAAATTCTACAGATGCAACATTGAAAGCATACTGTCTGGGTGCAAATTGGCCTGGTATGGCAACTGCTCTGCCCAGGATTGTAAGAAACTTCAGAAGCTGGTGTGCACAGCCCAGACCATCATGGAAGCCAATCTTCCATCCATGGACTCCATTTACATGGCTCGCTGCTGCAGAAAGGCTGCCAACATCATTAAAGACCCATCACACCCCAGTAATGATCTCCTACAGCCTTTTCCATCAGGCAGGAGATACAGAAGCCTGAACACATGCACAAACAGGTTCAGGAAGAGCTTCTTCCTGGCCATTATTAGACTGATGAATGGATTCTCTAACTTCAAATAATGTTGATCTTGCTAATATTGATCTTATCTAGCACACACCCTGTGCAATATAATCTGTGTGCCTCTGTCTAATTATTTTTTCACCCTATGATCTGTATGTCCTTGCTTACTGCTCATAAACAAAGCCTTTCACTGTACTTAGGTACACGTGGCAATAAATAAATCAAATCTAAACTATTGTGAACACATTCTCAGAGTTGAAGGAGAAAATGGGCCTTAGGCTAAATATCCAGATGGCAAAGTATCCCCTCCCAAGCACAGCACTGCCCCCGCCTCCTGCTTGTTATGATCCACAGCGAGCATTATACAATATAGATCAAATCTCATTTCCTGTGAGCCTCCTGTTAGTGAGGATGAACTTTGACACTGAAATTTAACATTGCCTCTGGTGTGCCAGCACAAACTTCTGAGAAAAAGAGTGCCTGATGACAAATTCCTCCACTCAGCAGCAGGCACATGGTCTCCAGGACGGCCATGTTGACCTGTACTCCTGTATGTGCTAAAGAAATGGGCAATATATAGCACAGACTTTAAATCTTGGCCAGATATTACCAATGGTGCATCTGTAAAAACCCTGCCGATCCAATAGCAGGGTAGGTGCTTCAATATCAGCGTTCCCTCTCGGGCCTTCATCCAAGAACAGGCTAAGTCAAAGAGCTGAATCCATATGCCTGACACCGCACTCCCAAAAACAAGCTCTTCTCTCCAAGCTTCATCAAGCAGTTACCAGCAGAGAGTCAGTCCAAGGACATCCTCAAATCCTGATAACATGGAACATCCCCAACGACGGATGGGAATCTCTTGCCCAAGACTGCCCAATTGGAAAAGAAACATCTGCAACTGTTTCAAGTGTCTCCAGCAGGTCTAGATGGGGGCCAAGTGCAAACAGTGGAAGGACTGTATGAAAATCCGAGCATCCACCCCTAGATTTAGCAAGCACTGCCTGACCACATGGTGTGTAAATTCAGTATTGGACTATTCAGTGTCCTCAGGACCCACAGAGCGGAAGAAAATCAGTCCTTGATCCCGAGCACCTGCCTAAGAAGAGGAGGAAGGGATTTTGACCTGTAGACAAGGTAATGGGCTAACAATACTTGTTGAAATCTTGATGGTGTGTGACTTGGAGGCAATGTTTCCTCCATGCCACATGGCAACCCAGACATTGCTGGGCAAAAGTTAGGCTTTTATATGACTGTAGTTGCACAGCTGCACATCGAAATTTAAAGGGATCAGCAATTTAAACTCATCGCTTGTGCACTGAAAAAAAATCAATAAGGAACATTGTTTGCAGGAGAAATTAGACATAATAGTATGAGCTTGCCTTTGTTCTCCTTCTCAAGAAATGATCGTAGTGCTAAAATTCGCAGAGCT